ATTGAGAAGATTTTGACACTGTTTGTTACAGGATGTTTAATTCAGTATGGTTTATTGAGAAGATTGTCATTGTTTATTACAGGATGTTTAATTCAGTATGGCTTATAAAGAAGATTGTCATTGTTTGTTACAGGAAGTTTGATTCAGTAAGGTTTATAGAGAAGATTTTGTCATTGTTTATTACAGGAAGTTTGATTCAGTAAGGTTTATAGAGAAGGTTTTGTCATTGTTTGTTACAGGATGTTTGATTCAGTAAGGTTTATAGAGAAGGTTTTGTCATTGTTTATTACAGGAAGTTTGATTCAGTAAGGTTTATAGAGAAGATTTTGTCATTGTTTGTTACAGGAAGTTTGATTCAGTAAGGTTTATAGAGAAGGTTTTGTCATTGTTTGTTATAGGAAGTTCGATTCAGTAAGGTTTATAGAGAAGCTTTTGTCATTGTTTGATTCAGTAAGGTTTATAGAGAAGATTTTGTCATTGTTTGTTACAAGAAGTTCGATTCAGTAAGGTTTATAGAGAAAATTTTGTCATTGTTTGTTACAGGATGTTTGATTCAGTAAGGTTTATAGAGAAGGTTTTGTCATTGTATATTACAGGATGTTTGATTCAGTAAGGTTTATAGAGAAGGTTTTGTCATTGTTTGTTATTAGAAGTTCTCTTACATAAACTACTATGTACTAAAATTATATAAAACCAAGAAAGAGGAACCTTATACATCATGAATGGTACACATTGGAATTTATTAATCTGTTTTGGCAAATGCATGATGATGATAAACCAGAGTTGCTGAAACTATGCTAGGTTAATAAATATTTTAAATTTACATGGTATAATGTTGGGCTTTTTTTTTCTGATTTTATACAGTGAGTTTAACTCAGTTAAAGTGTAGAGAAGTTCTGTCATTGTTATTTCAATTCAAACTGTGCATATCTAATTATTTATCATAATTAAAATAGTCTTATGATAAAACATTTGAAATAAAGAATTTGCCATATGGAAGATTTAAGACATTATAAAACTATATGGTAGAGTCATATTTCCTTTTTTCATGAAGTGAATGATTACTCTTCCAGTGGACACTTTACCATTTGGTGGTATTGGAAATAGTGGAATGGGTAGATATCATGGCAAGTATTCTTTCGACACATTCTCTCATCTGAAAGCGGTTCTTAAACGGAATTTTAACCCAGTTTTAGAGCAGCTTGGATCGTAAGTCATATTTACCTTCAATAACTTCAAATGTTTTTTATCTTCTCATTTCTCTTAAAACTTCTCATTACAGGGTCATTGAATCTCTTGAGTTCATGACCCCAAATTAAACTTAACTCTTTCAACCAGGGATCAGTCCATCAGTCCGTGGGATTTCTCGTAACCATTTTGTGCTTGTTATAGTTTTCATGCTATAACTTTTAAATAAGTAGGTGAATGTTAATGAAATTTGGCAAATTATCAGTAAACATTACAATGCTTTCATACATAAAATATTTTTTTTTATTGAGTGTTAAGGTTTGTAAAACAATGTTTCTCTCATGTCTTTTTTTTTTCTTTTCACATGTTGCCTATCTATCATGCAAAGTAATTTTCATTTTAAGATTAAAAATACTTTTATGTATCAGAAAGTTTTGAAATTTCACATACGAAACCTTTATAATGTCCAAATAGTTATCAAACATTTCTTAAGAAAAAAACTTTATATTTTATCTGTTATTTTTAGTAATTAATCTCTGTATGGGTTCAGTAAATTTCATGAATCTTGCAACCACCATAAAAAATTTAGGAAATAAACATAAATTATGCATCTTTCATTCTAGAATGAACACAAATTATAACACCAAAACATAGATGTTTAGACAAAATAACTTAAATCTCATAACATTATATATTTATATATATTTATTATTTTTATTATATTGACCTTTTACCCATGCCTGACTAACAATACAGAAGTTACAATGATGCGGCTCATGTGCACTTGTGTTACCGTATCAAATAACATATAGGTGACCTTTGGTCTGTACAAAGTAACTTGTCTTGGCTGTGTTTTAGTCGACTAGTATTTTGTAAAATACAGTCACATTTCAATTATTATACACTATATATGTATACAGATTATTGCTATTTTGAAATAAGTTCTTAGTTATTTTTCCTAAAACATAGAACAGTAAATAAAGAAGTAAAGCAAACAGTTATCTCTTCTATTTATGACCTTTGTACTCGGTTGCTAAGCCTTTAAAAATTTTGCACGTGGAGGACATATATTTTTTAGGTTTTATATATATTTTTGAATAACAAAAAATCATAAATTACTACATCAATACCATAGAATTCTATTATAATTTATCAAACGTAGTAACTAAGCTGTATTTGGGTTTTAAAAAATATGAAATTTTGAGCAGCCTAAAGACAACCTAACTCATTAAAATCTTGATTTAAAAGAAAGAAATGATGCTAGGTATGTTAGAAAGCTTAAAAAACCACTAGGGGGACATTCTGAGCTTCCGATTGGTTCTTCATGTCATATATATATAGAAGTAAGTGTTTAATAGGGGAGCTTTTCCAAAAATGGAAGGAGGTAATTGGGGTGCCACTGTGTTTGATTTATTACATGAGAAATATCTTAGCAAATAGAAAAGATAAGACCTTTTTATTTTATATTCTAGCTTGT